ACCTCTCAAGTTGTTTCCGCGTCTGTAAAATGGAAATAATTCACATGGTTCTCACGATGAGTTGCTGATGGACAGACAAATCTCATTAGACACAAGAGATGCAGTTTTTAATGGCAACGGATGCAGAAACTACAGAGCCCACACACAATGCAGAAGATAACACGGCGTCTCCCTGTGGAGGTCCCTGTCAGGGACATCCAGCTGGGTGACTCCACCCATGGCGGGGAGGCCTCCCACAGCTGGGGGCTGCCCTCTGCCACTCTGATGGCGGGGGGTGAGCCCCCGTCCAGCATCGCCCTGCCTGCCTGTGCTGTGGCTCCGGCCGTGGGCCTGCCTGCCCACCACCACATTCCTGAGAGTGTGCTCGGGCCGGTGAAGTGGGGCAGTTCCCTAGGAGAGCCCTCAGCACACCAAGGCGTCAGGCCCCTCTGAGCTCCATACCAGTGATGCTGGGACTTAACTCCAGGATTATTTTGACAGTTAATAAGGTAAAGCTGTTGGTATAGTGCTTAGCACACATTAAACACTCAATGAATGTATTAATACCGTTAATACGTTATGACATAATACATTAATAGCATTTTTCTCAGTGAAATGAAACATTAGACAGACTATTTCAGGAGTATGTTATTTTCCAATTATGGTTAGATAACACGCTGACATAACCAAATGTATTTTCTCTTTGGTCAAACATACACCTAAAGTTTTTCTTCTAAATTTGAGAAATTCTTAACAATGAACCTCTGCTGCTACTTTTTTTTTCAAGCAAAATAAGTGAATATTGTCTTCTTCTTAACTCTCCTCCTCCAACCAAAAAAACAAAACAAGCAAACAAAAACCACCTACAAAAAGTGAAATGATGATTTTGCCAGGATTATTTGAAAATGTCCGTGCAACATAACGCTATATTTATTATGCTGTTACTCACATTTCAGTCTTAGAGGACTAAAATTCTTGCAGTGATAAGCAGCTAAGTTTCTACTACTTAATGCTCTGTGTATCCTCTCAGTTACCTAACTGGCCTGTTTTTTTCGTTCTAACTATGTTTTGTCCTTCTAAACAAGGGGAGGGGACGAGAGTTGCTAAGAACGCAGCCCTTTCTCCCCGTCCGTCAAGGGTCCTGCTCCTTGCTTGTAGGTGCTGTTCGGCACGGCTGACGGGCAGGTGATCGTCATGGACTGTCATGGCAGGATGCTGGCCCACGTCCTGCTGCACGAGTCAGATGGCATCCTCAGCATGTCCTGGAACTACCCTGCCTTCCTGGTGGAGGACAGCAGCGAGAGCGACACCGACTCAGATGACTACTCCCCACCCCAAGGTAGCTCGCTGGCTCTGCGGGGACAGAATAATATCAAAGGAGAGTGAACTCATTCAGAGGAGGAAGGGAGAGGTCCACCATATGCCCTGCACCCTAACTTACTGGGAAGAGTTCTCGAACTGAAATGCAAGGCAGGACAGAGCTAATCTCTGGTCTAATTTGACTCTTCTCTCTGCCATCCCTTTTCTCAGAATCACTGGGCAGGTTGATGAAGCTCCATTGGCTTAGGTTTCCGTAGATATAAAGTGAGACTCA